TGCAAATTTTATGATTTGAAATGTGGTTTAAAATAATTAAATTTTCCTGAAAATAAAATAATAATAAATAAAATAATAAAATAAAATAATACATTTTCCTGAAAATTTTATATTTTGTTTACATTTCAGGAAACGAAACTAGGGATTTTTTTCTAATCTGATAAATATTTTATATCTTTAAATCACTGTTTTTTAAATAATAAACGTTTCAATCTTCTTTCGATTTTCATTTTACTAATATAAAAATGAAAATCGGAAGAATATTGAAAAGCTTATTCTTGAAATATAAACAAAATATATAATTTTTAATTATTTTAAACCACATTTCAAATCATGAAATTAGCAAAAAAGCGTAGATAAATTTTACATTTATTAATGCTGATTCTCGTTTATATCATTATTAATAATTAATATATATATATAGCCTATATATAGGCCTATACATATAATAATAATGGTGTATATATAGACCTATATATATACCATTATTATTGCGTATTAAATGTAAATAATTAATAATAATATAAAAATATTCTTTATACTCGAAAGCTAACATTTAATTTTATAAATTTCCTAAATTTTTCATGTGATTCCTGTATACAAGAACAGAAAAATATACATATAATTATAAATGTTAACTAATGAAACTAAATTGCTATAAAACTTATAATTGTCTCAATAGTTATAAATTTAAAATTATGTATTTTTTTTTTAAATATACAAAATATATAATTATTAAACCAGAACTGAAACCGAAAGTTCTCCTCCCTGTCTAACATTTAAATTTCTCACATTGACTTTAATTTGATAAGATTACGAAAGTGTTTTCTATGGCCTGAGTAGTTCTTTGTTTCGTCGAAATTAATAAAACTATTGAAATCATTCAGTTATCACTTAGATAATTTATTAGTTTATATATTAAGAAATTTATCATTCATAATCTAGTGAATTATAAATATTCGAATTTCACAACACGGCAGTTTTATAATTTCAAATTCCAAATTTAAAAGAAAAAAAAATACGGAGAAGATAAGTAGTTTTAAAGAAGTGTGTTTACGCGCGTCATTATTTATCTATTTAAAAACCGAAGATTTTTCTTTTATTATCAGTTCCGTTTAGGTTTTTCGGTAGCTATGTTTACACTGACGGTATCCATTGACACGGTACAGATGCTTAAGTCGATGGGTTAAAGGTGAATCGCTTAGCACGTGCTGTGGAAAGCGTAGGAGGTTGTCGAGTCTGATACACGGGGGAGTCGATGTTGTGGCTATTAATAGTAGATATAGGCCAGGCCACAAGTTTCCACCCTTGAAATTTCACATCCTGGTTCACAGCTTTAATGTTAAGAGTGTGAAACCTGTTCCGATATTTTCTCTCACAACTGTGAAATTGCTCTATTTAATATACCCAAACTTGTTTCGGTCACTATACATTTCGATACAATAAAAATTTATTTATTTTAATTAATATTTTTTTTTTATACAGTAAAATCTGCGTAAACCGGAATCGCACGACACCGAATATTTTGGCAGGTTTCCGTTCTGAATAGGGTTTTCTTTCTAACACAAAATCGCACCGTTTCAAGAATTTTGTCCGTTTAAACAGGTTTCCGCTTTACACAGGTTTTACTGTAATAATTTACGGCTTATATAGTGTTTTTATATTGTTATTACTAAATATAAAATGAAAAATAATCCAGTTAAAAGTACTTAATTAGATTTTTTGAATGCTTCAGATAATTTACAGTTAGGTATTGTTTTAAAGTTCTTATAAATATTCAAATTATTAAAATTGGGAGATGGAAAAAATGTAGAGATTTTATATATATTTTTTCCTTTAGACGTATTTTAATATAAGCAAATCTTTGATATTTAAACTGGGACAGCGAAAACGTTGAATAATGTAGTATTGACTTACAATACAGGATTGCATAATGGGGTATCACATACTTCTTTTCTCGGTGTAAATCATGCTCGTTCATTCACTTACATTCCGCGCGTCATTGGTCATGTCGCATACGTTTATCAAGAATTAACAATTTATCAGTTTTAAGACATTCAACCTCCGCTAGTTAATGTTATCTAAAATAACATTTAATACGATGTTCTTCTGTGAATCATACGCGATGAGTAAAATCGAGAGGAAAAATGGATACGTCAGTGGGTGTAATTGCGTAACGCGCGGAATTATAACAAAACTTGGAGGGCTCTACGATCATTTGCTGCATAGATTTGGTGGAGGTAAGTTCATTACTTTTGCTTCTTTCGAAAGTTTATACGAGATACAGCATTATTTAGGAAGGTTAATGGTGTTAAATGGAAGTCATGTAGCGAAGAGTAACGTCATTTTCCGAATTAGAAACGAAATCTCTTAACAAAATATTTATAAAATTTTTAATGTATTATTTATAAATTTTAACTTTTTTTTAAATTTTTGAGGAGCAATACGTCGAGTCTTTAAATATAAGGGTTAAGGTTTTGGATTCCCGTAGCTAATTCTGGCTAAGTCCTACCTTTTTTGCCAAATTACAAATCATCTTTAAACCGAATATATCTTATAAATAATAATACAAAAATGCGTAAATCTGCTAAACTAAATAAAAAATCTCTAAATATTAAAGTTAAATTATGATAAAATATAATAGGCTTTTAATTTAATCTGATATATCGAGTGTGTGGCTGCATTTATAAAATTAGGTTAGAAATTAAAATAAAAAAAAAAAACAAGATCACCGCAATAGGATAGAAATTGACTAACATTATAACCTAATTGACGTATCAGTAGTTTGGAATAAACCGATGTACCAAGGTCAGTAACGTATGGTAACATTACACCATTTGTACTTCTGCGATAAACGTTTAGTGGACTCATTCAACACATCCTTTTCCCAAATAGTTGATTACGTCCGGGAACTCGAACGACTAGAAAACGTGTTATTGATTTTTCTAAACTAAAAAAAAAATCTTTTAGCGTGTTTTTTCTGTTTGAAGAATCTAATTTTATTGCTCCACAAATATTTACTGGAGGGGGAAATATCCTGAATTTCTTAACGTAGTTAGGAGTATACATGTGGGGACGAAGGACACATATTGCCAGCAACCCCCACTTGGATACATTCAATGGAAGCATATCTCTCTCTCTCTCTCTCTTTCTCTTTCTGTTCCTCTCGGACTCGTGACGTCATCGCGGAGACTGCACGTGCTAAAAACCGTTGCTAGGTGACGAAGCATCGCACTCCAGCATTGAGCTGTTGGCTGTCGTTAAAGAAACAAGTACAGAGCCATTCTGTAGTTTTATTGTTAATCCCGCACCGATACAGGTTTGGTCTTGTTTTTTTTTCTTTTCCATTTTTTTTTCCTACCCTTCTTCTTCTTCCCTATTTTTTCGTGTCTTCTATATAGGACATCGTCTAAAGATAATTGAGATGGTTGTTATTTAGGAGATGACGTTTTCCTGCGGGAAGAGGCAACCACGATTGAAGTGTCATTTACTTCGACTGCAATAAAATGGAGGAATTTCCTGCTTTCTTATTGATGCTGGCTTCAATTTTTACAATGGTTGAGAATGGCTTGGTGAACACAAGCGGAGGTGTAGTGTAGTCCATTATTTTTTTCCTGTGTGTACGTGTGTTTGGCTTCTCCTTACCGAACACGGGACGTCGAGTCGCGTAGGATTGTTTTGGATAGCGTATGCCTTAAATATTAAAAACGTGTGTGTGTGTGTGTGTGTGTGTGGTGATTTCGCCGACGACATCTGGATCGGGTCACATGATCCAAACAGCACACAAGGTCACGGGCGTTGCCTGTAGTCCCACCGGCGTGGCCAGTTCCCTTACATAATCTCCCAGTTCAAGAAACTAACGAGTGTCTATTGCTGTGTGGCTCGATTACAAAACTCTTCGCTCGATTCTCGTATGTCTGTCCTGTAATTATGGATCTTAACACGGGTAAGCATTAGAAACAGTCTGAGCATTCCGAATTGTCGGGTCGAACTCTCCTCTTCTCACTTCCATTGGAATTATGGGTAGTTATTTTGTAGAATAATAATAATAATAATAATAATTTTGCTTTGGTCATATATATATTTTTTAATTTGAAATTTTTAAGTTTAATTTTTTTTTTAATTTTCTAATCACGATCATCGAAAATGATGAAGCGCTTTAAAAATTATTTGGATAATTATCTCATCGCATTCGATGTAATTATGGCTTGTTTCTAATTTAAAGAGTAATTTTCTTATTCTGAAAATGGCGATTACCATAACGAAATCATTTTTTATGCCTTTATTATAGAGGTCGGCGTCGTTTTTAGGTCATCGAGGAAGTCGTCATTACTTTAGGTCGTGTCACACCTTTAAAGGGTGGAGCTAACTTCCATTTTTATTATTTTTTATTTTCTATTTTCTATATTAAAATTTCTGTAAATAATAAATATACGATCGATATCGTAAATTTCTAATATTTATCGTATTATTTTGCGGCAACGAGGAAAAAAAATCATCAATCTCTTCCTCCTTATGAGATCACTTCCGGTCGTGAGGTCACGTTTGTCCGCTTTCCTTATGAAGTGATGAGTCGTTTTGTTTGGTTCCAAAACTTTTACCCCCTGTTTGGAATTTGCCACAGGATTCGATTTAACATTGATCCGCGCGTTGAGTATTTTGGGTTAAGTAAATATACAGTATATTGTTACGCTTCGTATTACTTATGCGTGCCTTCCCTCGTCATTCCTTAACCTTTTTCACCTTTTATTTTAGTGTTTTTACGTCTAGGAATGTGGCAGAGTTTGTTCGGAACTCGATAAATATAGATAAGATTAACATTTTATTATATCTACACAATTTTTCCGCTCCGTTGAAAGGATTTTATTTATAGTAAACAAGTTTTTTTCTGTGTTATAATAAGTAATGTAGTTTGCGCGGTGTTTTTTAAAGCGTGCAAGTTTTATTTTTTTTTTTTGGAGATCAAAATATTATTTTTGGAGGGTCCTTAATGTGATAATTACGAAATGATTGCTGCACAAATATCAAAATAACATGTTATTGACTCAAAGAGAAGCAGGATGTTAAAATGATAACAATTACGGCACTTTATATGATTGTCATGTTAATCAGAGGGCGTCTTTTCGCCATTTTTTTTTCTCTTCTATATGGTGACATGTTTAATGTATAAGGCTATAATTCACCCGTCTACTGACTAAACCGTTACATCTTTATTGTTGTTACTTCTTCCTACCAGATAAAGTTTAAAATTCTCGATAACTTACAGATGTTCCATTTTGAATTTCAGATTCGAGAAGAATAATAACCATGAACAAAGCTAGTACCTGCCTGGTTTGGATTTTCAGAATATTTTTAATCGTTTGTCTGATTGTCAACGTTGCCAATGCGTGTTCCTGTATGTACCAACATCCCCAAGATCATTATTGTGATTCAGATTTCGGTGAGTATTATTAATTTATTTTTAAAATGAATTTATAAATTCTTACGTCTTGAAAGTCTGTGAATGAATGAATTTGTTGACTCAAAATCTCTAGCAGCCTCCAGATGTCTAAGGCTTTATTTAAACTAACCCCCAGACGATAAATAAGGAGTATTCAGTCGATTGGAAATGAAAGTAATCCCCTTATACAGCTGTTAGGAATACACAAGGACAAATTTTATGATTCTCTTAATGTACTTAACATTCTTATCCGACTGCGGCCGTAAGAAATGTTTATAAATGACGTTTTCCAAGATGAGACGAAAGCCACGTGTGTGACGTTACTGCTTCATGTCGCCAACGCGAGTAAGATAAGACGTAAGTGAACAAGTCGATAACTCGAGGTAGAAGGAAAGTCCTTGATAAAACTGTTATTATTACGATGACGTACGTGAGGGTATCACTTGAAAGCTAAATATTGAAAGTTTACAAAAACACCCAAAGGGTTTATCGAGACGTGAGTTCATGCAAAGCTTCGTTGCGTAACGTACCACTCGTTTCAAGAACGAAAACACGCATTTTCTTCTTCTTCTTTTTTTTTTCTTTTTTCTTTTTTCCTAGTCCTTGCCACGCACTAATGCCATTTGAGTCACATTCTCATATGTTAATAATTGATTGAGGGGGTGTAGTTCTTCTCGACGTAATTCGACTAGACGCTTTATAAGGGATGTAAAAATACAATTAAAATAATTGTGACGCAATACGAAAACATATCGGCTATAATTGGCTAGTTTTCTGCTTCCTTTCAACGTACGGTTTCTCGGCAATTGTTTAAAAATGAATGGCTTCTGCATAGTGTGACGTCGGTGCGCATCCTTCACTAACGAATTAATTTACGTATTGCTTATCTCACCGGAAACTCTAATCATATATTTAACCCCTTCGATCGTATGTAATTACACCAATACTCGAAACATATTTAACTGATCTCTTCCATTTTGTTTTTGATTTAATTAAGAAGTATCGACATAAAACCACACGCGGTTGGTTATTCCATTTTTAAATTCTAATACGAGCGTGATCGGTTTCGAGTTGTGACCTTAGATTAATGGTCCGTTTGGACCTGTGCCAAACCTGATTGATAGGGGTTTTTTTTCCTGTAAAGGCCTCTTCTTTCTTGTACGTTGAGATATGCAGGAAAGACTTTTGAGGAAACGTTTAATTAAGAAATTTTATTCTAATATTATAAATACTTGCAGCACTGAAAGGGTTTAAAATTGATTATTCGCCTTACTGATTTGACACGTGTACTATGTTTACCGTTTTAAATTAATTACAATCAGTTTACAATTAAAATGATGTATTATATACAAATATTCTTTATTAAATTTTAATGTTTTTAACCATTTTAGTGGCTCTGGTAAAAGTCAAGCAAAGAGGAAAATCTGACAGAACATTAACATCCTATCATATTAAAATTAAGAAGGAGTTTAAGGTAAGATTCGTAATTAAATAATTAAATTCGCATTTAAGAAAGTTAAAAATAATGTATAGTCATGTGTCAAATAAATCAAAGTTTAAGGGATGAAAATATAGTTTAATGTATATTTATAGTGTAACAATTTTATATTTTATTCCTACATATGATCATTTCTGGTTTCTTATTATTTTAGTGAGAAATTATGCCATGTCATACAAAATTATCAGTAAATTCAACTAGAAATCCTTATGTTTCATGTGTATATGTACATTTTTCATGTCAATTCTTATATTTTGCTTGAAAAATATACATAAATGCATAAATCTTGGATATTCTCTAGATTTTTACATGTAATTTTAATACTTTTGTATTTTATTTTCAAAATAATAGCATTTCTGTATTGGAATCAAACTTCCTGCTTTATTTCTTCATCAAATTCACTTTCGGATTCATTTAATCGTCATTTTATTCGGCCATATTAACTAATTTCAATTTATTTTGCTTCTAGATGAGCGAGAAAGCTCGACACGCTCTAAGTCAAGGATTAATTTGGACAAGTAATTTGGAGTCTTTATGTGGAGTCAATTTAAGACCGACTCGCTATTTAATAACAGGTAATTGATTCGATTAATTCGGATTAAATTCATTTTTAGTGGGTGCCAGTTGAAATTTGATTCTATGAAGTGAAGCGAAAAAAATTTCGTAGTCAAATCCCTAGTTAAAAGCTTAACTTCATGTTACTGATTGCGAATAATAAATAGATTTTACAGGAATATAATAACAGAAATTAATCGAAACGTGTACATACTCCATAATTATAGGCTTTTTGGGTATTTGTAAGCACTTTAAATCCATTCTTCAACTATATCCTTACAGGTAATACACAGGGTAATACAGGTGTTGTGTATTACCTTGTGTTAGACGTCGAGTAATACAGTTCTTGCCATATTTCTCTGCATTAATCTACAGTTTCTTTACTCATGTACAAACGTGTGTATAATGCCATTTATATAATACTATGAATATATGCAAAACTGTACTAGTTTAATGAAGAAACAGAAATATTTGCTTTATTTTTTCTCTTAAACACGCCATTTTTGCTTCATATTTGCTCAAGTGCAATGTGTTTTACCAAACTTATTCTTACTTTTCAAATTTTTTACATCATTAATTAAAAATTAGAATAATCAAAGAAATAAATCATTATTTCTTTGAATATTCGAAGATCGAATAACCAAAGAAAATCGAAATTAAATATTTACTTTTTGTTATAGCATAGAAAAATGCGTATTTGGCTTATTCAATTATTTGAATGTCAATAGAAACTGTTCATATTCATTGAGTTTATACAGAAGGTCATTTTCTATTAAAATTGAAAAGGCGTATAATAATAATTTTTTAAAAATTCAGCTTTATTCTTTCTAAAAAAAAACCGAAAAATTCCTGATAAAATAATATTTTTAACACAAATACAGACTTTTAAATTATATTTCATGTCTTGCAGCGCATTAATTAGATTATTCTTGTAAGTTAATTCGATTACAAAATAAAAACATGAATTTTTAATTTTGTAAAGAAACATTAATGTTCTACATTACCAGAAAATCATTAAAATTTCATATTTCAATTAGATTGATTGAAACGAATAACAAAAGAAACAATATGCAGAGACTCCACTCGCATGAAAACTTAATAAAATTTTTTAAATATTTTTTCACGATTAACTTTAAATTTTATTAGGAAAAAAAGTGGCAAAATATCCTATAAATTCTAAAATATATTTCCTGATACTTTCCCAATCAGCATTCTAATCCTTGCCAGTATTTTCATTGGTTATTTTGGATCAATTTGCTCTTGTATGGTAGGAAAGGACTTGAGATTTTTCCTATTAATAATGTTGAATTGGCCGTAGTAGATGCTTAGATTTTATATAATAAATTTCACGTATTTAATAAGTAAAAAAATTATTATTTGAGATGATTCCTTAATTTACAAACAACATCCGCGATGTAACGAATAGTAAACTACATATCTATCAAAGAAACTAAAATTCACGTAGAAAAACAGTATTTTGAGCCATACATTCATCATAATTTGTATGACAGTATCTTTAGATTGAATTATTTACAGATAAATTATTTAAGTTTCCCATAAAAAATTCTTATTTTTACAATTTAAGAAAATTAATTCGCCATATTTTCTAATTTCTAAAGCTTCCAAATCTAAAGACATTTATTAAAATGCCAGGAAAACCCTGCGTGACCAGCTTTGGTCAGGAGCGAACCCACGACCAGTAATAAGTGGTTTTATTCACTCATTATTGGTATAACACATCCTTATGCAGAACTTTCGTTCAATTAGATTGTTGCATCTTGAAGGAACCGGGTTCGAATCCGATCCAGGCGAGTTTACGTAAGAGTTTATCGGGTCATCGTTCTCATCCTTCATTCAGCGATTCACGAAACTATTCTTGTAAAATTTTATTTTTAGAAAAGTCGAGATAGGGTTATTACTATATAATCGAGGTACTACCATAACTAGATAACTCGCAGAGTAAAGAAGTACTTCCGTTCTGAATGACATCTGATAATGTAATTGGATCTCAATGATTCCGCGTAACGTCAAGTTGAATTCCTTTTATATTAAATTAAAACTAAAAATTGTTGTTCGTGAAAATCGTCACGTAACGTAACTTCTACTATTGCATCGTGCGACTTTTGTAAAAGTAGACTTTGAGCTTACAACAATGCAATTATATAAGTGGCACTATTTTTGGAAATTATTTTTGGCATTTACGTATAGATTTATTTTTAAAACATTATCTTTCGGATTAATAAAAGACTACAAATTATATAACATCGTCGCAAAGTCTTATAATTAGATTATTAGCTTTGAGTGAATGGAATTTATGCATATTTATTAAATAATACACATAAATTTTATTTATATAAGCTAAAATTAGGATGTCTGTTTAAAAGGTAGGCAATTTTATGAAGATTTAGATCTCATAGATTAATTATTTAAAAAAGGTCCAGCAACGAGTTGCGTAACTTTCCCGGCAATAAAGTTAAAATTGTGCGTGGAACTCTGTTACGAGATTTTATTTTTTTTTAAAAACTTATATTATTAATTATTGTAAATGGTAAAAAGTTTAATTTTGAGGGCAGAGATGATTTTTATAAACATTTGTAAATGCTAATAACTAGTAAAATCTTCATTAAGTCCGATCTCACTCAAAATGCGAAACACGACCCCTTTTATCTCGCCACTCCCTTTATCTTTAACCACCAAAATTTAATAGCATCAATCCCCTAATACACAAACCTCCTTATAAAATTTCAGAAATTTTCTTCAAAAAGCACGGGAGTTATTAAACTTCAAAGACGGTGAACAAAATCGTGCCCCCCCACACATACACACACTAACATTCATACATACAGAAATTACCTCCCCTCGATTTTTTGCATTTCAAGGTCGCCTGAGTCCAAAAATTTTTAAATCTTGGGAGGGAGGTCACTCTTGACCGACCCCCATACTTTTCCTCTGTTATATGTAACAGCCAGGGAAAGTAAAAATTAAAACGAATACTTAAAGAATATTTATGATAGAAGGTTAAATACAGATAAGTAAATCAATATGTATATAAGACTATTAGGTTTATCTACAAAAGTAATTTTACGGACACATCTATTCCTGATGCTTCATTATACATCAATACGACACGTTGGTGATCTGCCGAGGGAATGACCCTCAGGATGACTTTCTATAGAAAACTGGCCCATATTTAGGTGTTACAAACGTGAAGAAAGCCCGGAAAACATTCGTGGCCAGCGAATTGGCCAGGTGTGCCCACTGCCAACAATCAGTGTTAAGTGGTTTTATCCAGTCGGCCACCGGTTGGCACAAAAGTCAATAAATTAAAATCAGATCTTTGAAAAATAACACATATATTCACATATATAATTTGATTTGTACATATGATTATCTATAAAAACACATTCAAGTAGAATTATCAAACGTGAATATTTTAATTGATTTCAATATTTAAATTTAGGAATTTTGTATCGAATTTTTTTCATGTTACCGTTTTTACAACAAAGAAAATTTATCTGAAATCGCCCATTTTGATTTTCAGGTCGAGTTTCCGGAGAAAAAGTTTGGGTAGGTATTTGCAATTTTGTTAAAGAATGGTCGTCACTGACAGCAAAGCAGAAAAAAGGTTTCCGCAGACTTTACCAACAAGCATGCCATTGTAAAGTAAGTATTACATTTACATAACACAACTGAAATCTTTAATTTTCATGATAAAAAAAAAACGGTATATTAATTACTATTATTATTTACTTTCAGATAACGAAGAATTATATACACAACAATAACACCACAGTCAGGCCACAGTGTTATTGGGAAACTTGGAAAAGCGTAAAATATGACTGTCAAAATTTATATTCTATCTGCGCACCTTCCTCTCATCACATGAAAGAATGTGTTTGGTTGAAAAGCAGAGCCTATCGTCACTGTATGAAAGAAAAAAGAGATTTTCTCTACAGAGAACCTTAAATTTATCTTAACAGATTCATCGTCGATACTCTTTCGGAGGTATCATAATGAGCTTTGCCACTAGGTGGCAGAATTATGCTCGAGTCTCAGTAGTAGGACGAAACTCTCTCTCTCGAAGTTTATCATTTAAAATATTTTAAGAGTACAATTTTATGACATCGTAGATTAGGAGAGTGAAAACACGATTTTTAAATGTAGATCGGCCAAAAAAAAATATAAATTTATCCATCAGAATTTACATTAAAATATATATTATGTTTTTCAAATTTCTGCTGATAAAGTAGGCATTATGTATTTTATGACACGTTCTGATAAATTATGTCTGCGGTGATTAATTGCCAATATTTTTAAATGTCAATTTTGATATAAATGCACCCTGGTTCATCGCGTTCTTTTGTAAATTAGAAATATGTTTAAATGTATGTATTCATTGTAGTATTTAAATTGTGTTTGTGAAGAACCTGTATACTGGTCTCCAACGCGTATAGTTTTGTAATTAGGTCTACACTAGTATTCAAGTGTAGTTGATGGACCAATAAAAACGTACAAATGTAATTTATATAAATTTTTTATCGAAAAAATTATTGCCTTCAAATATAATTTATCAATACCAAATACAGTAAGTTATTCAGTACTTAATTGTTTCATTTATTCTACATGTAATGTAATCTTTGAAAGTCAATTTATAATATACAGAATAGTCACAAAGTCTCGGCACGCTAATTAAAATTTATATATTCAGTTACATTTTATGCGCAGATTTTAATTTCTCTTGTGTTTTTCTGGATGTTATCTTCCGCGTTTACGATTGAAAGTCATTAAACTAATCCCTGAAATAAAGGTCTTCAATTGTGGTAAGGTGGAGTTGACATTTTCTCGTTCACAACGCCCTAAGGCGAATGATTACATATTGCCGAGTCTAGACTTCGAGGAGGCCACACCATGCTTATTCATTGGCGTCTATCCTGAAGTCAAAGCTCGAGGGCACAATTTCATACTTTGGGTCTTTGTGTGTGGCTCTCCGTAGTGATAACGTTGTGCGTTTATATATTTTTAATTGAAAATATTGATAAATATTTTTAAAAGATATTTTTATTGATTTTTCTTTTATCGTTATAGGCCTACTGCTTATTGGCTTTTTAATAAAACATTGTCAAGAAAACAAATTGTTTACATATTACAGTATATTCAAAGATTTGGCACGCTATTATTTCGTACAGATGGCCGGATGGCCGAGCAGTTAGTGGCAGCCTACCGTTTTGAGGGATTCGGGATACAATCTGGACCACCCTAAATAATTTCTAAGGTGATTCGGCCTAGGCCGAATCACCTTAGAAATTATTTAGGGTGGTCCGTCAGGATAAGTCTATATGTCTGATCCTGTCCGTGACCTTCCGGCTGCCCTATTGTGAGTCTGACCGAGCCTACAATGCGCTTGCTAAGAATGTCCTCTCGTGCTTTCAGGGCGAAAAGGGTAAAAAATTACTTCATACTAGTTATTTTGCAAATTCTCCGTTATATACCATTTTATATACAGTTAATATTATCCCGAAACGTATAGAAATAGGTGAAAATCCTGCAACGAAATGGATAGAGAGCATGTAACGCTGCTGTTGCACACAGAAGACTGCTGATTCTGGTAAAATATTGATATATATGTTGCAGTTACTTGATGAACTTGTTTTGTTTTTGAGAGCATCCTTTTGGGTTGGGCAATTGTCTTCTAGACTCAATTTGGATCCAAAGGGTTGCCTATTTGGCAGATATTTTTTCTCGCCTTAATGAATTAAATTTAGACTTTCGAGGTAGTTCTACTACTGTATTCAACACACATAACAAAAATTAAATCTATGATAAAAAAAAATTGAATTTCTAGGCGAATTACTCATTGAAAGTAGAATAATTAGTGCTTCTCATCATTGTTCAGCTTGTGTCACTATTGACTCAAATGCAGTGGCGTAGCGAGGGTTGTGCAAGGGATTGTATCATGCACCGGGCGCCACTCGCAGAGGGGCGCACAAATGGTCTCTAAGATAAACTATGTGTTTCTGGAGGGGGAGGGAGGCGCCAATAAAGCGTCGTGCCCAGGGCGCCAGTTATGTTCGCTATGCCACTGCTCAAATGTGAAAGCTGATGTAACACAGTTCTTGGGAATGTTCGACTAGCAACTGCATTTTCCCCACTAATTCCTTGAATTATTCTTTGATCCTCACTGATGGGCACGGAATCAATTTCATTTTGTTCCGGGACTGCCAATTATCCAGCAGGAACAACTGCTTGATATTTCATCACACAGTAATGTCAAAAAGTCATTTTACCGAGAAAGTCTGTTGCAATTTTGGACTGAGTTACTGAAGGAATATCCTGAATTGGCTAAGTTTTCTGTGAAAGTTCTGACGCATTTTGTAACTTCCTACCTTTGCGAGCCAGGCTTTTCTGCATTGGTAGCTTTTATTTAAGATCCAAACAGAGACATATGCTTAAAGTTGAGACTGACATACGATTGAAATTGTCTCGCTCGTCAAATCAAACCTAATATCAAAACATTACGTTCATCACATCAAACACTGAAAGGATACGCGGCCAAAAGATGTTTGTGAGCCATTGCTTTAAAGTTATACTGCACTTTAAGCTGACAAGTAATGCAATGTATATAAACTTTACGTTCTTCACTTCTTTATAAGTTAATTGAAGAGCCGGCATACAAAATAAGTTACTGTATATCCATTTTTGGCTAATTTGAATAAAAGCGAAATTTTTAACAGACGCTTAAGTGCAAGCTTTTCAATTTGTGGACAAAGGAGAATGGGATGTTAGGATTTATGCAATTAATTTTATTTTAATGTTGTTTTGCTCTTAAGTTTTTAACAGTAATAGTTTCGTTTAGATTTAACTTATTTTGCATGGTAAATGAAATATAATTTTTGTTGAGTAACAATAGATTTAACTCATTTTAAAGCAACGACGACTTTTTCATGCCATAATATGGTAAAATCATATTGAAAAGACCCATCAGTGGCCGAGTGAATAAAACCACTGAACAATGGTAGTTGGTCGTGGGTTTATCCCCTCACCAACGGGTTTTCTTCACCTTCGTAAAATTATCACAATGACTTCTTGCTGTCTTATCAATCTCAAAAGTGGAATTTTTGATCCGAAATCTTAAAACTTTGTTTCGCAAAGCCATTTAAAAAGTTACACAAACTGGTTCATTCTCGGAACAGTTACATTCCGAATAATCATCTTCCACGTCATTATGATCGCCACACTTCAAATTGGCATAAATTTCAAAGTTGGATCATCATTCCATTTATCTGTAAATTTCAATTCCAGCAATCTGACGACATCTTCGTTTTTCTTATTTTCTATGATTTTCTATAATCCAGGAAGTGGGGGTGGAAGGCTTGTTGGGTACTAACACGTTGTTACGATAGGGACACCACCTTTCCAGTATGCTGTTGCAATTCTCTTCGTTTCTCACAGTTATCACAATCCTGGCTTTTTGCTGATTTTTTACGACCTGTCTGTAGAAAACAACGCATTTCATTTCTTGAATTCGAGCCGACGAAACATATAGTAATAACAAAATTTTTCTGTTGTAATTTTCTTTTGTAGGCGAAAATTTTATGCCGAAACGCCAATACATTATCATTTTTTTAAAAAACTCTCTCCACCCTGTAGGTTCGACCAGGCCAAAAATGGGAAGCCGGATGTTGAGGGATAATCTGACTGCCGGACTTATCAGAATGGATAGTCCCCCGAAAATTTCCTGATGTTTTTCGATCCGTCTGAATTCGATCCCGGGTCCCCAAAACGGTAGGTATATTCGACAGAAAGTCTTTAAATCTTCACTTATGATGCAATACGGCCATGACTGTCTCCTGCACATGCTTTGTTTGAATATGGAGCAATGCTATTGGCCACTTGAATTTAGCAATAACAAGAAATGACAATGTGGACAATGCTGTAAGCAATAGGGATATTACTTGTTTTGGCCATACACTGCTTTAGAAAGTGTTACGCGTAGTAAAGAATAACGCCATAGCAAAAACGCAATTTTTTTAAAAAATTGAATATAATTTGTTTTGCGTGCCAGCTCTTCAGGTAAATCGATGATATATTATTTCACTGCGTGCTAGCTTCGTAATACAGTACAGATAAAAAGAAGACCCCAAAATTCGGTCCCATGTAGGATCTCTAAACCTGTAAATCCGCCTCTGGATGCGCTCTTCCGGAATTGCTTTTCATACTTGAAGTTTTGTCGGTAAGTATTTATAGGATGCAAGAAATTTATAAGATGACTCATCGAATGTACTCGTTAGCGGTTTTCTTGACGCGTGGCTATTGCGGTTTTGATGGAATACATTGCTTTATATAGAAGTAAGCACTAACGTCTATTTAACACAGTGGAAAGGGGAGAGGATGTGTAATTTGTCTTTTTTCCCTGTTTTTTTTAACATCGTTCTATTTTCAGTGATGCATTGGCATCTGTATATACTATATAAGCTATACAAATACCGAATTAAACTAAAACTGTATGCAGATATAGTAACAAACGTGATAAAACAGCCAGAAATCAACTGTATAATATTCAATATTGTTATTACATATAATTTCGTTGAAACGTCAATAAACAAAACAGAAAACACACCTAGACAATTTGAAAGAAAGTAATTATCCAAATGAATGAGTGAAGTATCGGTATAGAAAAGACGTGTAGAGACAGCAATAAAAGAATTACAAATGACGAAATTGTTTATTTAATAATGTGAATATACTAAACTCCCGATTATCCCGGAATTTATTGTTAAAATACGCGTGAAAAATCACACTTTATTAGCACGAATAATCGGGAGTTTGGTGCATTTGCAAAACATTTTATTTCGGATGTATTAAAATCATTCGTATTGTTGGCGTTAGAATTTGATCTTGCAAGTCTTGCCTGGTTAACATTGCATGCTGCACACTTTGCTCGCTAACTACAACGCTTGCTATATATATATATATATATATTTTACTATAACAAACCGCAAACGTTCATACTGCCCGATCAGATTAAATTCGGTTTCATTAAAAAAACAGTTATTTAAAAATGACTAGAGCACAGTCCAACGTAGATGCAACTGGATTTTTGGGACGAGAATTCCGATCCGATCTACTGTAGTCGTAAATGTGCGCATAGAACATACCTGATACATCTTGTAATAAACTGACGCATTTGTGTGACTTATAACTACAGTATTAGAAAAATTCAAAAATTTTATTTCACAATAAAATTGTGCTGGCAAAATTTGTTTCATTCGTATATACAGTAGGCGCCCTCTTAACTGGCCCTTACGTGACTGAACCCCTGGCCGGTTAATCAGAAAAATATAAAATACTATACTATTTCAGTATGTAAATGAAAACTCTTACATATTTTTAAACGATATTAAACATTTACTCAATTTATTCAATTTATGTAATGTACTAACGCAAGCTGCTTCAAACCATTAGCATCTAATATGGACAAACGTCCAGAGAAAGGAACGGTTTGTGGTTCTGATTGGTTAAATTTTG